GGAATTACAGGATTCAGATGCAATAACTTGAGACTGAATATAGCCGCAAGTCCCTCCTCCCTCCTCTCATTTCCCCTCCTCCGCCAAAAAGACCTAAATTTTGAGGTTATGTTCGTTTCAAGACTCTGAATATAGCCGCAAGTCCCCCCTCCCTCCTCTCATTTCCCCTCTCCCGCCAGAAATGTCCTAAATTTTAAGGTTATGTTCGTTTCAAGGCTCTGAATATATCCGCAAGTCCCCTCCCCTCCTCCGCCAGAAATGGCCTAAATTTAGAGGTTATGTTCGTTTTAAGGCTCTGAATATAGCCGCAAGTCCCCCCTCCCTCCTCTCATTTCCCCTCCTCCGCCAAAATGGCCTAAATTTTGAGATTATGTTCGTTTCCAGACTCTGAATATAGCCGCAAGTCCCCTCCCCCGCCAGAAATGACCTAAATTTTGAGGTTATGTTTGTTTTAAGACTCTGAATAAAGCAGTAAGTCCCCTTCCCTCATCTCTCTCCGCATTTCCCGCCAAAAATGACCTAAACTTTGAGGTTATGTTTGTATTAAGACTCTGAATAAAGCAGTAAGTTCCCTTCCCTCATATCTCTCCGCATTTCCCGCCAAAAATGACATAAATTTTGAGGTTATGAAAATTTCAAAACTTACAAAATAGCCGCAAGTGGAGGTGGAGTTCCCGCCAAAAATGACTTGAATTTAAAGATTATGTTTGTTTCAAGACTTTTTAATAATTTATTGGTTTTTAGGCAATTTTATTGAAATTGTTTTTAAAAATAATTTCTTAATGTCCATTTTAATTTATTTAATTATTCATTTTTATTAACTTAATTAATTTATTAATTAAAATTTAATAATTTTAATTTTAATAATATTTATTCAGATTTCAATGAATTTGTAATAATAATTCTTTGAAATAGGTGGTTCATTTGGAAAAATAAGATCAATGCAAAATTTAAAAAAAATGATTAAAACAGGGGGGTTGGTATATATATTATTAATATTAAATATTTAACGAATGAATTTATAAAATGTAAATTCGAATATTATAAACAATTGTAATTTTCAAAGAAAATCAGAAAAATCGGTTTACTTAAAAGTTATTGGCTGACATTGAAACGACTAGGGAGATTATTAAAGAATCCTGGCAGGGCGTGAACTTGTTAATCCTAGAAAGTGTGTTGAATTTTAAGTAAAAGCCATCACTCAATGTGATGTATCGTTTTAAATTCAACCTATTTCTTTCAAACATCGTTAGTTCTTAAAGGCTTTTAGGCAAAAATACATTTTTCCATTGTAGTTAATATGTAATCGAAAAAAATTATTAAAAAATACTAGAAGAATTTTTCAACAAATATTTTACTAAAACTAATTGCAAGGCTCACAAAAAATTATTATTCTAAGTAAAATGTTTTTGAAAAGAATTTGTTTTATGTTAAATTTCTTTCAAACTGTTTTTATTATAAATTTTTTAATGATGTTTAGAGGCCTTTTACAGTTAAGATGTTTATTTATTGGTTGACATAACGTTGTTACTACATGTTTCGGCTATTTAGCCCTCATCAGGTAAGTCAATGCACTTTTCAAATAAGTATAAGTATAACAAACATAAGACAAACACGTAAGTAAAACAAAATCTGTAATAAATAAAAAGATTTTGATTGTTATTTATTAAATTAGAATATTAAATTATTAAAATTAAAAGAATGAAAGACTTACCACGTGTTCGATCACATTATTTTAATCTATTAATTTGATTAATTTATTTAATTCATAAAATTAAAAATTAAAAATTTGAAAAATTCAAATTTAAGAATCCATGGTAAATAATGAATGTTTCATGGTGTTCCATGGTAATATATCTTATGACCGTATATGTTATGGCAGATTTCGAAAAAGTGAAAGGAAAAATTTTAAGGTTATGATAAAAAGTTAAAAAAAATCCCTGTATTATCATATATGTAAAATATTAATTTAAGTTTAAAAGATTGATGATAAAATAGAGTTCAACATTAATCTATATGGAATTAATGTGGTAATTTTGAAAAATTTAGAAGAATTCTTAAAAAAAATTCTAAAAAATTATATTGGAGAATATGTTATTATTGAAAAATATATTTTGCTTAAATTTTGTGTGTCTGCATTAAAATTTACATGGTTTAATTTATTACTTTGGATGTGTATCATTTCTAAAAATTTTCTTTTATAATTATTTTCTTCTGTTTCTAATACTTTGGGGTATTCAAAATCAAAATTATGTTTTGTATTGTAAGTATGAGACGATAGACCTGTGTTTTTTGATGAGAAATATCTCTTTTATGTTCATTAATTCTATCAGAATAACAGAATTTGTTTTAATTCCATAATTATGAGCTAATTATTTGTAATGACGGCAAAAATTAATTGAATAAGTCATATGAATCTTTTTTTCAAATTAATAACAAATAGATAATTCATTGTACAGTACAGGAGGTTGGGGTGTGACTAATTAATAGTCTTGGAGACGAAACCGTGCATCCGATTAAAGTTCCATTTACACTGTAATCTTGTCATATGAAATAAACATCACCTACGAGGTTTAAGCTTCTAACGCCATCTATTATGGAAGTGAAGGTACTAAAAGGTGTTTTTGGCTCAGTCGCTTAGTTGTTTTGACCTATTTAGTCAATGATTAAAGACATGCTAAACACTTCGAAAATTGAATTGGGTAAGCGCTTTTTAAAGTAAAATTAAGGGTTGAATACGAACGTAGTGATGATTTTTTTATATTGTATATTCTATTTCTTAATTTTCGGATTCCTTTTAACACTTTCTACATTCCAGATTCTACTTTTAACTTTCTGGATTCTATCGTATTTCTATCGGTATGTCAAGCAGTAAATCATTTTGGTAAAATTTAAAAAAAAAGCAAAATTGAAAATTTTTATTTTTCTCTTCTAAAAATTATAATAGAAAAAGTTTTCTCTTCGGATATACGTAATTTAGTTGGATGAGGTTTTTGCAAGGTCAGTAAACAGCAAATAAATCTGAAACCTTGTTCTCACGTCAAGTAAACTTCAAAGTGCGACATATAGTCGGTATAGCTGGCTTTCTAAAAGTTCCTACGAGAATAACAACATGACGTTGCAAAACATCATGAGACAACAAAGCTTCCACGCGCGTGCAGGCTTTCTGTTTTGAAGCAGAAACTACTCTCCCGGAAAGCTGTCTTCTTCTCTTTCTCATTTTTCTTCCTAGATTTCTTGCAAAGTTTAAGGAAAAGTCGTTCGGATCTGGGCATAAGTGCGACGTGAATCCGCCGAAGCACAAGAATGCTTTTTGCGAAACATCTCTTTCTCTCTTTCTCTCTCATGCCTAAAAAGAACGAATGGCTTTGCGACCGCGCGCGAGTTTCATCACATTTTATCAAAAAAAAATGAAAGAAAGAAAGGGGGAATAATATTATCTGGATTAATTCCGAAAATAACAAAAATCTTACTTGATTTGAATATATGTTGCAATTTTAAAGCTTACCTGAAACAGAAATAAAAATAGAAAATTAACAAAATGATTAACATTTTCGAGTCTGTTAATGTTAAAAAAAAAGAATTTGCCTTGAAATGTCTTGAATTTAAAACACATAGCTTAAGTTAAATCCTTTAATAGGTTGAATAATCTTTTAATGTAAGCAGTAAAAAGAGGGAAATGAGGAAAAGAACGACATAAAATAATGATGTAAAATAGAAAGGCCATCTCGAGTTTTTAACCTTCTTTACGAAGATGCTTAAGATTTTTCAAAATTCAATGACAATAAAAATATAAGTAAAAAATCGAATAATGCTCTTTTAATAATTTTAATAAATATAAAAAAAAATTAAATTCTATCATGATTATGTGTTACGTCCGACAACGCAACATAGTTAGTAAATTTTAATTTATTTTTGAGTCTAGACTCATTGTCCACAACTCAGGAATCATTCAAATTGGTTTGTTTTATTTAAAGGTGAATTTAAAAGGATTGAAAAGATAATAATGCACTAAATACACTGTAATCTTCTCGGAAGGTGTTTAATAAAAAAAATAATGATCTAATCTTTTTAAGGATTGAAGGAACTAAAATGCGCAACTTAATTGCACTACGTCCTTCGGAATTAGAAGTATGGCAAAAAAATAGATGAGAGGAGAAAAGTAATTTAATATACAATAAAAGTACTTACTTTTTTCTTTTTATTTATAATAACTGAATATTGTTAAAAACTCGTTTAAATTTGGATCTTAGATGTTTGACTTCGTATTTATTGAAGATGATGAATTAGAATGATCAAAAATGTGACTCGTCACTTAAGAAATTTAGCAATATAAAATTCAACTTGAGAATTAAAACGAAGAGTTAAAATTTAGAGACTTAGAAGAAAATTGGAAGAAACTGAGAGATTTGAAAAATTTAGAGAACTTAGAAATTTGAAAAGAACTTGGAGAACTGACTTTTTAATTTAATTCTTTAGTTTTTATATTGTTATCCCTACTTAATTTTTTTAGTTGGGTGGAAATTTGGGGATGAATATTTTTTAGAGTGGGAAGTTAAAAAGATGAATGATTGGATTTTTTTATGAAACAAAACGGAAGAACTTATCTAAAAGAAAGATGTCATTGGGTCTTTCAGGCCCAGCTTTTGCTAGGGATGACTTTGCGTGGGCGTATCTTTAAGATTAGGGTTAATTAATGAAGTCCTTGCATAAATAATTCTCTGAATTAAATAAAATTCCACTCGAAAATATTCCCAAATTATTGGATGTGCATTCAGACTTGAAATTAAATAAAATAATAATATTGAAATAATTTTATCCTTTAAACAACATTTATGTTATGTTCACACGAAGATAAAAAATTTTAATTTATAAAAATGAAATTCTTTTATAATTGTAAAGAACTATTTATAAAATTGTTCTTTTCATGCTCTAAATTCAGAGATTAACTCTCGCAAAGCAGTTATTATTTATTATTATTATTTCACTTTTGTTTCCAGCCTCACTTATACGAAAACAATGCAGATGTCAGTCAGAAGCGTAAGCTCTGATGGTTGGCTGGTCTTCTTTTAAACCAACTGTGGTACAAAATGAGGAAGGACGCGAATATGGAAGTACAAATTAACACATATGCATATATGGAAACATAAAGTGCACATACGCACAGCAGAGAGGACATCGAGGATGATTACAGGCAGTAGTTGCTGTTTCTGCAGTCGCGAGAGTGAACGCTTTCTCTCTCTCTCTCTCTCTCCCGGAAGTGCTAGCTATTATAATCATAGCGAAACCACTGTCATCGCCACCTCTACAGATATATATGTATATATGTATGTAAACTGAACGCAAAGCAGCGATCCGCTACATAACACGTGTATATATGCAGCAGGATTCATAGGCTTGTGACGTATATACATTAATGCACGTTAATCTGGCCTGAAGCATATACACGTGCCTTGACCTGACTTGCTTCGCATATGCTCGACTCGTTGCCTACTGGATGTAATAACGGAATACCTCCGGCTGTTTGGGAGTCCTTCGGCACGCGAGTCTAGTTACGAAATTAAACCAACACAATAACATAGATGATGAACTACCCTTCACCCCCTTTTCAACAAAGGCTCTCTCTTATAGCTTCACTTTATTCCATGCACACACCATCATCGCAAAATTTATTTATAGGACTTTTCCGTCAGAAACTTTCCTTGCACCAATTTATATATGTAAAACTTCAGACCTTCCTGTACACTCGCTCAATAATTTTTCGTGTCGCAAACTAAACTCTATATTTCTTATATCTGACAAGATAAAAATAATTGCTAATTTAAAAAAAAACACTGATTCATCTTGAGTTCCGTTTAAGAATATTTTGCATGCTTCCCTTTTTGATATGCTGACAATATAATTGTTACTTTGTAAAAATTTAGTTCATGATTATTTCTCCAATGAACCCACTTCCAAGAAGAATTAATAATTATTATTTTTACTAATAACCAGCTCAGGAACTCTATTCTTATCTTAGGGTAACAATAGACCAAGGGAAGATAAGGAGGAATATCATTTATTAAACAGAATTTACAATTACATGTATTAATAATCACTTCAGTAGGGTTTAATCCTCATGATTCATATATTATTTAGATTTATTTTAAATTTAGCAAAATTAGTATTATATTCAACACTTTTTATTTAATTATGTGTACTGTAAACATATCAGTGCATTTAAATAAACGTGTATTTTTACCTATACTTTCTGTGTATCATTGTGTTTCAATATCTTTAAATTATAATTGATTATAAAGTCCAACAAAATTATTAGAATGAAAATAAAGTAAAGAAACAAAATGAAACATTTGTGTGGGACAAAATCGCGTCACAGTAGGTATACCAAAAGCTTCTTAGGACAAACATTCTAGACGTCATTGGGAGTAGGGAACCTTAAAAGAAACATAATTCTTTTGATGATAAACATTTTGATATAGAGCTACAAATTAATTTAAAATTAATAACATTGATGATGTGTTTGGTAAAGTAACGATAGGTCGGATAACGAAGTAAACTAACTTCTCTTGATGTCGCCCGTTAATTCCTTAACAGGGAACTCAAGTGATAAATTCCGTAAATCCTTGTTTGGAGCTCACGTAGATCTCGAGACTAGGATACTCTCTCCGCTTGTTTTGCTAAGCAAAAAAAAGTAGAAAACTTGCGATTACAACAAGTTATTTTTTTTTGCGAGTTCCATTGGCCCATCCTCTTCTCTTTTCTCCCCTTCATTAGTCGTTCATTTTGATCCTTTTTTCTTTGCACCTCTTTTCACCTTCAAGTTTCCTCTTTCGACTCGATTTTCTCTCTTCCTCTTTCTTCTTTTATAAGGGAAAAGTTATACCCATTTCATTCTATCCTCTCTTTCTCTCGCCCCAAACACTTTTTAGCGACGTACACTGTGCACTTGGTTCCCTTCTTCTTGGATTAAAACTTTTACACTTTGTTACCCTTTTTGGAGGGTCGCGAATGCGGGAGAGAAAACTCCTTCCATCCGTAATCCACGCCTTTCGCTACGTTGGACAAATTTCAGTTTCCGTTGAAGCGAAGGGATGAAATAACGCGCTTTCGAGAAAACGCGTCGACTCGTACACACTTGAGGGTTTCCTTTATAGTTTTCATTGCGCGCGTGTGTATTGGCTCATACCATACCATTACTCGACTCGTATTTCGTCAACGATATTTTACTTGCGGCTTCGCGTATACATTGTATATCCCATTTCCCAAAGATCTGCAAGAGTTATACGCGGAACAGAAACATAAGTCAAGTCGTACTTCTCGCGAGATTCAATTTCAAGTGTCTACAATTTCGAATAACACGCCAGGGGATGTACGCATCATAGATACAGCGAACAATGAGGAAATCTCGTTGGAGATATACACTCTTGAATCAACATAATATTTCATCTGTACACCAACGTAGATCAACATTCAAAAGACGATTCCTAAATCATTTTTTTTTGCTCTTGATATATTTCTAATCTCTCACAGCATGTGATATTGTGCCTGGATATCTCATTTTTATCTCCAATATGTAACGTCCTGCGTTATTTCATTATATTTTCTTTTTCATCTTAATTTTTATTTGTAAATTTCTTATCGATTCTACAAGGAAAAACATCTGTTTCACTAAAACCATGTTTCTTTTCCTTAGTATAAGTTTTTATTTCTTCCTTGTAGAACCAATATAATGAAATACTAAACCTTAAGTGGTAAACACTTGCAGGTTGCACTTTGAAATTCACAAAATTTATAGAAACCGAAAACATTTGTAAGCAATAAAATGTAAAAAATATAACCATAAAATCGACACAAAAGTCTATGAGTGCATCCTCCAGATGTTGACCGCTGGGGTTTTTTCCACTCTTTTGTTTTTCTCACACAATTTACAATTCTTTCACAATTATCTAGTTTCCCAAAATGAAAACATGAAATTACTAACTGTTTTATTTCTTTTTCTTTAAATATAATATCACACGATGAAATAATAAATTTTAATCATTAAAGTTTTTAATAATTATTATTGAATTGTATTAAAATAATTTTGACTATTTCTCTTTTTTAAGTATATGTATAAATATGAATGTGTGTGTGTAGTTGTGTGCATAATTATTCAATATTATATAATTAAATAATTATAAAATTATGTATTTTCTAAATAACTTTAAGAATTTTTGAAATTTTGAAAATTCGTTTAAAAAGTGAATTTTGGCTCCATCTTTTAAAAATAATTTTTGACTTTAAATCTCCACTTTTTCAAGACAACTTAATCTTAAGATACGCCCACGTAAAGTCATCCCTTGCAAAGGCTGGGCCTAAAAGACCCAATGACATCTTTCTTTCGATAAGATTTTCTACTTTTGTTTTTCATAAATCCAATCATTGTTGTTTTCTAATTCCCCACTCTAAAAATATTCATTCACAAACTTGCACCAGTCTTAAAAAATTAGGAAGGGATACCAATATAAAAACTAAATACCCTAATGAAAAAGTCAGTTGTTTTTAAATTTTCAGTCCTCTCAATTCATTCTACTATTTCCAAAATACTATTTCCAATTACGAACTCTATCAATTGTTTTTAAATTCCAAGTTCATTCTGTTTCTAATTATTTCTCTAGTGCTTAGTCAGTTTTTTCAAAATATTAAAAATCTTTCAAGTTTTATCTTCAAGTTCCAGTTCGGGATATTATTCTTTATACCAAGAGTCCAAACTTTCAATTTAAACGAATTTTCAACACTATCCATCAATTAAAAATAAACTGAAAAAGTAAGTAATTTTGTTGTATATTAATTACTTTTCACCTCTCATTTGAATTATTTTTACTTGTCATTCTTCTAATTCCGAAGGACGTAGCGCGATTAATTTGCGCAATTTTAGTTCCTCCATTCCTTTAAAAAATTTGCTCATTATTTTTTTATATACCTTCCGAAAAGATTTTAGTGTATTTAGTGCATTATAATCTATTCAATCCATTTAAATTCACTCAAATTAAAACAAACCAATTTGAAAGATTCTTAAGTTGTGGACAATGAGTCTAGACTCAAAAATAAATTAAAATTGACTAATTATGTTCCGTTGTCGGACGCAACAAATAAAAATTGCAATTAATCTTTTTGTTAGAATGGTTTTATGGAAAATTGGTTTGTCATCCATTCTGTCATTTTATCATCGATATATTTTTTATATGTATACTATTTACTATGTAAGGTGATAGATTCAAAATGAAAAATCAAGATTATTTAGAAGAGTGGGATATGAGTTGAATGAATAGAGAAAGAGCGAAAATGTTCATAAGTTATAAAGGTCTGAATTTTCCTAACGTTAACATTATTATCAAATCCAATTTTTCCACAAGACATATTTCGTTCAGAGCATATTCGAACGTAAATTAAAATATAATAATTATAAGTATTGAAAGTAATATATGTCTTCGGCCCGTAAATTGAGGTAAATCCTTATAAATAAAAATATAACTTTTTGAATTTTAAGTAATCTTTTAATGTTAAAAATCCACGGATAAGGATAAACATTTCAAATTTATTTTAATATTTAATGTTTCTGATTTCTCAAAAATATTACGCATACTGTTTTTATTTGTTTGCGTGAATTTCACTTGTTAGTTAAGAACTACTAAGAGAAGCGAATCCCTTTTCATTTTGTATTACTGTATTAAACAGAATAAACTCATTATTATTAATTGTTTAAGTTTACATTCAGTGAGATTTCAATTCTTTTACCTTTCAAGAATCCAGCAACAAGTTTAAATATTTAGTAAACTTAAAAATTTTAATACAAAATAAAAACTAAGTATTTTCAACAAGCTGTAAAAGTTAATAAATAATTACACATTAACAGACTTTTTGTTTGAAAACTAACAATTATTAAATAGAAAAATAATGCAAAAAATAGAATTCTTTTAAAATGTTCTAAAAGTGGTAAATAAAAAAGAGAATTTTGTAAACCTTTTTACAAATTCAAGAGAAGAAAATTTTTTTTTAAAAGAATCAAAGCCTGCTTTGTTAGTTGCAATCTTGTCTTGACCTGGTTTAGACTCTATTTAGCTTTTTTCCTTAGAAACTTTCTTAATAAATTATTTATTTACATTAGTAAATTGACTTTTAAAAAATCAAATAATGATATTAATTTATTCAAATAATGATGATAACTTGTTTAAATAACTTTAAAAAAATTAAAGTGAAATACTAAAATTTGATTAACGTAAAAAGAATTCGGTCAACCAAAAATATCAGACACCCTGATAAATAAAAAATAAGGAAAAAAAATTTGTTTTAGATTAACTTTAATAAAATAAATTTTGAAAAATACCCAAGTGATAGTAATTTGCTTTAGTGGAGTGGTATTAAAAATGTATATGAATATTGGAAAACATATAAAAAAACAGAAATGAGAAAATTTGCAATTAGTGAATAGGGTTATGCATAATGGAAAAGTATAATAATTTAAAACGATATTCTTTTCTTTGTGCACGAAGTTTGTATAACGCAGATAGAATAGAAATACAAACTATATGCTTTTTTTGCTTCGTAACTTAAAGGCGAAGACTGGTTACGAGTTCGTGGAAGTAGAGCAAAATTTACATTTTTATTATAAGATTGAATACAAGAAGAGAAATCAATTAAGAAAAATTATCATGCTTTTTAAAATTTTTCTTCGTCCGTTAAATAAAATTTTCTTCATATTTGATTTATGAAGTAAATATTTTTAATATAGGAAATTAATGATTCAGGGGGTTGATTGTGTAATTCTACTTTCACTTTCACTGATTATGGGTTTTTACTTATATTTTTACTGATATACTTTGACCAATTTCTAATAAGTAAAGTAGAACCGAATATAAGAGTAAAAATTAAAATCAGTGGAAGTGAAAGCGCAAATTGAGTTACGTAATTTACCTCCAGAGTATTTGGGAAAAAATGAGGAAACATATTTAAAAAAAAGCAATTTTTACAAAATATTAAGTAGGAATTGTGTTTATGGAAACTGTTCTTTAATTCTTTTCGTTAAATGAAGTTCTCAAAAGACCTGAAAGTGATTTTCTGATTATGACATAGGCGGCATTGACGCACGATATTTTAGATGTTAAGTTTATTGTCGATATTTTACGATGTCAGGGAAACTCTTGAACCTACCACTTGAACGTAAGCAATAAAATAGTTATGGTCGTGGTCCAACTAGTTTGACAGGTTGATTGCAAATGGTGTCTAACATTTCTTGTGCACTTTCAGTCATTTATACTGCATGTAACTGCTGACTTTTAGTAATGACATATGCTATATTTTATACCTCAGCGTCTCAAGTTATAATGGAATTGTACCAACTTTGATATCAAATGTATTACATTAATAATAATTCTCCATTTCCATAATAATTGAAAGTTTATTCATTTTGAATTATATGATTATTATTACTGTTACGTCCGTGAGAATATAACAGTATAATGTTAAATATATTAAAAAAAATTCATCATCAGTATTTTACATAATTGCTATGTATTTTTATTTGTTTTACAGTTTCAAATATTATTGCTGTTTACGAGAAAAGAAGTCCTTTTTCTTTTCCTTGGAGTGCACTACCTGATTCAATGAAAGACAGACTAGAAATGCATAAAACTTTGACCAATAAAAATTGTAGTGAGTTAAGGAAAATTATGGGCATCATCTGATTGGAACACAAAAAAATTCGGGAGAAATATGCCTAGTTCTCTAATTAATATATTTGCTAATAAATATCCACAAGCTCTAAAAATAGATGGAGAACAGTTAAGTGATGGAAAAGAAGTTTTTCTTATTAGGCTCTATGATCATATAAATTACAAAAACCATCCAACGAAAAAAAACCCAAAGAAAGGAAAAGCTATGTCAGGTAATGTCATTGAAGAAGATAACAATCAGAGTGATATGGGAAATATAAATCGCGATGAATAGGGCTATGTGGCTTACCAAATGCCATTGCCTCTCAACGATACAAAAATAACGTAAGAGGAGAAATATTTAAAATTAATAGAAAAAGATGTTTATGAAAGAATCTAAATGAAGTTGTAACTCTACAGACAGAAATTAAAGGTCTGATGGAAGTAATTTTTATTAGATTTAATATAAATAATTTGAATGTTATGAAGATTTAACTATTAATGGTTTAAATTAACGGTTGATTTTTTAAATAACACGATTTCTCTGATAAACAGAATGAAATTGGATTCCTGGCTGCCAATAAAAAAAACTCCTAGATAGCCTGGTTTTAAATGTCCGAAATTATGCAATATCCGTATAGGGTTTAAGATACTTTGAAGAAATAGAAAAAATTCAATCTCTATATTATAAAAAAATATTGAATATACCACGTGCCACTCCAGGCTATGCCATAAGATTGGAAACTGGATCCAGTAAATTATCAGTAAAGTGTTTCAAATTAGTTTTAAATTATATAGAAAAAATTTTAGCTATGGAAGATTATAGTAAAAATCTGTTTCTTACAACTGAAAAAAATAACAAAGAAAAAAGATATAAAATTATATAAATTTAACTGGTATATGCAAGTGGAAAAAATATTTGAATCCATAAAGAAGGAAAACGAACTAGATAATATTAACCTTAGAAACAATAAATCGATGTAAAGACACTTGGATTTCCGATTATAAAAAGCTGTTGTATGATGAAGACGTTTCACAATTGCAGGAGTCACAGTCACTACAGATGTTGCCTTATTTACCGAGATATGAAGGACTTCAAAAATATTTATGTTTGAAAATCCCATTAAAATATTTCAGATTAATCGCTCAAATAAGACTGTTGAATAATTATAGTGGCTGGATTTTAATAAATGACAAATTAATAAACTTAGAAATGGTAAATGTCTGTGACGACTGTGGCTCCTCTATCCTGGAAAAGGGATTTCATGTTTTAATAGAATGTGTATGTCATAATAAAGAAAGAGAACATTGTTTGGGCAACCTAGTAGATGAAACCGCAAGAAAGAACGCTTTTTTTGAAATTTTATATAAGCCGCAATGTGAAACGGTTAAAAAAATTTACCAATTCGTTGAATCGGTAGCAGATAAATAAAATAAAATAAAACAAAAAATAATTGTATAATAAATAATGTAATACGATCGCAACCTCTTTGTATAGACTTATGTCTTAAAACAAATAAATATTATAATTAACGGTTGATCATTTTTGTATATTTTTAATCCAAACTACAATCTTGTCAAATTCTGTTTAGATTGAAGCTCATCGTAAATTATTTCGAAAATTTTATTCAAACTATTGAATTAGAAAAACATCTTTTCATCATTATAGGTGCTCTACATGTAGGAAAAGGACATTCACAAATAGCTAATTTTTTTTTATTTGTAATGGATATTTTATCAATGTGCGAAGACACATTTAAAGGTCATGAAAGATATTTGATTCTAGCTGTTGAAAAAGTAAATCAGCAAAGTATGGAGAAAGCAGTTACTAAGAAGGGACAGTTGACTTTAGGGAATATCGATGAGATAAAGAAATATTTGTTAGGAGATTGAAGATATTTATATTTTTCATAATTTGCATTTTGTAGTAACTATTATACTTTTTAAGAAGATTTCTTTACAGATAATCCATGATGTCTCAGAAAAAAGAATGTATTTGTGCATAATGTAACGTTACGGAAGATTTTAAAAATTTAAAAATACAATTTTCAAATTTAGTTATTCTTTAAAAAAACTGCTATTAATTCTCACTATTTATTGTTCTCTCAACGGTAAATGATAAACTGAAAATGTAAATGTTATTTATGTACTTGCTGCATAAATAACATATCTTTGAAGATATTTTAAAATTCGAATATAGCCGAGGGGTGAGTTTCGAACAAGTTTTCAGGATGTGCATAAATTATTTACTCGCTTATTCATAGGTACTTATTATGCATATAGTTTTGTACACGTATAGTATATATATATATATGTATAGAGAAAACTTGTTTTGTTATGTTAAGGAAAGAGGAAATCAAATGCGGAAGTGAATTTTATTTAACGAAGCGATTATTGGTAAACGCCTATTAGGGAGAGAAATGTGCAAAATGAATGATATAGCATCCGCCCGGGGGGGCTGATTTGACCTGGCTCCAGTTATTCGTTTGACGTTCGGGGAAAATGCGGTAAATAAAAGCATTCCTCGTATCAAGATTGTTATGCAAATTTATCATTCGATGGAACCGATAGACCGTGATAAATGATGGAACCCAAGGGATGTGAAAATTCTAAAATTGCGTATCATCGACAATTTTTTTCTCTCCCTATATATATATATAGCCCTCCTCTGGATTGATCATATAGTTGTGTGGATATTTATTCGGAGTCAGAAAAAGTGAGAATGCAGTATGATAATTGACGCATCAATTTTCCTCTTGTCGAGAGAAATTTTCACTCGCTCGGGAGAAATGAATTAAATTTATTTTTTTTTTCTAGATTATCAGCGCGCACACTTTTGTTAATAGCTCAAGAGCCCTCTTTACCTTGGAGCAGTGAAGCTTTTCTTAATTCAAGAAATAGCGGAAATAACGAGCCGAACGCTCAAGTAAAGGTAACAGCAATATAGATAAAGGTTGTTGAGAGATGCAGATGAAAGAGGAGATAGAGGGTCGGATAATATAAAAGAATATAAAGATAAAAGACGATTCTTTTAAGCATTAACGACTGATTGCGAAATACCAGTCGTGAAGTGATATTTTCTCGCACTGCGAGTGCTGTTGGGAACAAAATGATTTTCTCCTGAGAACTTCTAGCGAATTTCCTTTATTTTTATTCAACTTTTTAAAAAAAGGTATTCTTTTCATTTATATAATTTCTAGAGAATTATTTTTTTTGTTTTCTTTTTAGTCACAAAATTCTGTAAAATTTTTTAAAATTTCCAATTATCTCAGATGTAGTATATTCTTACTTTATGTTTTTCATCTTTCCTCAATATGCTCCTCTTCCTTATTAAATTTGTAAAAATCTCTCAATAAATCATAAGAAAAAGTTTGCAAAAATTTTCCATCTCTTCTTCTATATTTTTCTTTATATTTTCTCCATACGTTTTTCCCCTCCAAATATTCATATTTTAAAACCTTCATCATTTCCCCCATATGGTGAATATTTTCGCTTAATTTTGTTATTCTCTATATATTTACTTTGTTCAATATTTTCCTAAATTTTTTCATTTTCTCAACTGTTATTATATATTTTGACGTCGTAAAATGATCTACATGAAAAATTACAATATTCATGCAAAAAAATGTTATGAAATCCAGTAAAGTTAAATATATTCGATAAATAAATTAAAATTTATTTTATTTAATTTAAAATTTTTTTAAGTTATCCTAAAATTCCAACTTTAATCTCTCCTCGGGAAATAACTTTTTCATGTTCTTTTCTGACATAAGGCCTTATTTTTAAAATTATTTCTTCTAATAATAAAAATTACGTAATTATAAAAAGAAATGTACTGGTTCTTCATTCAACATTTTTGAATAATAATTAAGATTTACTTATTTCTTAGCTGTAGCTGCTATGGATTAAAGTTAATATTTTTCATTAAATGTAGCAAATATTTATTAGCTGCAACGGCAAATAATATATATTTATAATAATATTTATCTTCATTTTAAAAAAAAATTTCATTTAGAACATAACAAATATTCAGATGGAAAAACCTCTCTGCAAATGAAAAATGAAAATAGACGACTGTGAATTTGTGATTATTGAGAGCATGACAATAGAATAAATTGATCTGTCAACGCATTTTAAAAAAGTTGCATCTCCCGCAAGGATGGGGGAGAAAGTAGATTCGTAAATGTGAAAATAAAACGTCATCTTATGTAGGTAAACGTTATCTTTCTTCGTATATAGAAAAAGAATGTCCACCTCTTGGTCCAAGTTTTCCACATTTACTTTATCCATTTCGGACGCTTCTATCTATAAACAAGTCGAGGAAAGAAGAAAAAAACACACGAAAAAGAAGGGATCGAAGGGGGAGGGAGAAAAAGTGGCAAACGAAGAAAATGTGGGAAGGGGAAGTTCCCGAACTTTAAAAATCTCTCAAACAATTCCAGTGGAAACTCGCTTCTAGCGAGTGGTGAAGTAAATCTCCGAGCACGTAGCTCAGTGTTGGCGAGACGGGAGCACCAAGTGCAAAGAGATATGTCTCATTCTGCCTTCTTCCTTCTTAATAAATTCTCAGAGAGGAGTTAAACTAATTAGAGGTACACTCGTGGAATTTTAAATAAAATCACTTATCCTCGAGAGGAACGAAGAAGGCAAGAGGTAGTATGAACGCAAGTCAGAGAGAAAGAAAGAATGGGGGCTGTTGGCTGCATGAGGTGGGTGTGTTGCTTGCTTGAAACGTGGAAGGCTGAGAAATTCGTGCACCTTGAAAACTTTCTAGCGATAACCTCAGCTCTGGGATGTATATATCAAGCTAAGCGCGGAAAGGGTAAATAGAAAAGCGTGTAGCAGCTGTGGTAAAAATGAAACTTAACTCCCAGAGAATCACTTCTTCAAGGAATATACACTATACACAGTTGTGCCAACTCAAATGCAACTACTTTCGACTTTTTAATTTCATTTCAAAGATCTTAATCATTTCGTTTAAATTTACAGTCTTGCGTTTCAAATGTTCGTTGCACTATAGAAGAAATTCGAGACTTTCCAGAATCCTAAAGAAATCTTTTCAAACTTTATTCCAAAAGAACCGGGTCTTTTATCAAAATAATAATTAACTTTATTCGGCTTCAGGATATTAACAGTTTCTTAATAAAACGTCAAATAATAAAATTGTAATATCTATTACAAGTTTTTTTTTAACTTTCCTTCCTTTACACTTTTTCAGGATTTTACTTTCCACCTTGCTCCTTAACCCATCACTTGACACCTGCTACACATACATACATTATTCACGATTTCTTCATCCCTGTAAA